GTCGCAAGCAGTGCAAAAATACCCATACATATATATATAGATATTGTTATTGTTATCTATATTTTCGATATAGGTGTGCACTTCATGCAGCGGCTAAGCTACTTCTTTCTTTTGCGCCACACTTTGTATGGGAAATGGATTAGTTGTTAACTGCGGTACTTATAGCCGATCTTTATGGTAGGTCAATAATAAATACCAAATCCCAAGGCTCTACCATTAAATATGAGTTTTTATAGTAGCCACAAAGTGAACTAGCTCTAATCATATGCTAAAAAAAAAAAAGTTTGATTCAAAAGTTATATTTATCGATATAATAAAAGAAAAAGGCAGAATATATATATTTTATGGAGTCGATGAACAAAATGTGGTACTTTTGAAATATACATGCATTTTTTATGCTTATCTTTTTGTCGTCCTACAAACAAGTTAGATGTATATATAAATTTATTTATTTCAAAAACATAGATGCTTCTTTTGCTGTTATATATATCGTACAGCTTTTTTACATACCTAATTATTATAACATTTGTGAGTGCATGGTATAAAGCAAAGCCATTTAAACGCCTTTTCAACAACGTAGACAACTTTTCTTTTTGAACTGTCTATTTTAATTATAGCTTCAGCAACTCCATTTCTTTTATATGCTTTTGCTTGCTGCTTTTGATTTACTCACTTTTAGGTGAATATTTTCCACGCGTGTTTAGTACATAGAGAAGGTTTATACTTTTCACTGCCTGACCAACCGCTTAAGGCCAGAGATTAAATGGGTAATTACCCAAGTGTGCAAACATAATTTAAACTAAAAAACTAGGCTTGCCAAAGGTTTCTAAATCAACTCACTGACAGACGATTTTGACCATTTCCTTTTTTGAAAGTACGCGAGTAAAAGATACACAACATATTGTGTTGGTACACACGTGTACGAAATAAATAACCGAAGGCTTTGATAGTGTATTAAAATATTTAATCATTTGACGCGTGCTGAATACCAACGTACCAGTCGGGTGAAGCCGGCAGCGAAATACTCTAAGCAGCTTAAAAATAAACTGTTACTAGGAAATATCGATTTTTGCAATTTAGGGCAGCAGTATTTTTGGCTCGATATTTAGAGGTCATTAGGAGTCTAATGGCCAAATTGGTGAACAAATTGCGGTTATACGAGCAGTGGCAGGCATTTCACTTCGTGTACCGAGTGCCGATGGGCCAAAAGTCTAAGATATCTTTTTGAAACCTATTAAAACCCAAGCTTACACATATATTCATAAAAAATTAAGAAATAGTTATAAATAACAATTACGCTTGAATTAAGGCAAGGGCAAAGTTTTGGCTTACACATAAGATTTTCAATTAAGTTCATTAAAAAGTTACTATTATTGTAGAAAAATAAATTGGAAATGGGTGTTTAAGATTATAATGAAACTTAAATTAAACAATTGAACGCTTTTGAATTTGATGTTCAATTAAGTAAATATTTCTTTGAAACATATGGGCATACAGTTTGTCAAGGCAGCCCATTTTATAATTGAAAAACTTTGCAGTGTTACCCTATTAGGGTTAGCCCGAATCGTATATATAAAATGAAAAATCAATTTTCGACAGCTTGACATGAAAAAAAATAAAGGCAGAACGGCCTCTTGTAGCAATTAAAGTTAAGAGTATATGTATATTCTATATATCTTAAATTTCCTATTTTTGCCTTATAAATTAAAAATCTTACTAAAATGAAGAAATTGTTTTATAAAATATTAAGTGCGGGGTAAGGGGGAAGAATCGCCGCTAACATTGCCTGTACTGGATCTGGCTAAAGGAAATATTGTAGTCGTCCACTCTCCACGGTCAAACTCTTACAACTTTCTAATTTTTATTGTATTTAAACGTTGCATCTTTTCTTTCGGCAAGTGAATATTTTTTTTGTTTTTTTCTGTATCACTTTAATTTTTGTTGACAATTTTTTTAGGCAACCACAAAAAAATGGGAAAGGGGTCTAGACTCTAGAGTAAATATACCAGACAATTTAATTATGCGGCCCAACTTAAAATTTGTTGTTTATTAACTGAAAGTGAAAGGCAATTTAAGTTGCGAAGTGTGCAAATCTTAAATAGAATTTGTTACACTATTTGCGCGTTTAATGCAGCATATCGCGCAAAACTGTTGTTTAGTATAATGATGCACTAATCATTTTTGCGCACCTCTTAAGCCGTTCAAAAAAGTTTTTCTTTCCCAGAAAATTTCAAATTAGGTAAGCATAAAAACATAAGCACAATGCATGAAATGACTAACCTCAGTCAATCAGCGATAAACACGTTAGACAGGCATCGTCTTACAAATACAAATAATTTTGTAGGATTCCAAACATCAGTTTATTTGGAAGTCTTCATAACAAAATAGAAACAAACACACATAAGAAGCACAGCCGTTGTGCAAAAGAACAGTGTAATCGGCACTGAATACAAGGTATTTCCTAGTGTATTTGTATCTTTGCAAAATCTTTTTAACAAAAACATAAAATGTATACCAAGAAATTTAGTCTCTTAGTCCTAAAGCTAAATATATTGAGAAGACATATTTTTGGCAGGTAGTAAATATAGTACACAGGTGCCCCAGACAGTTAACGATAGAACTGTCGAAACAATTTTTGAATACAAAACTTAAGGTTATCAACATATCTTAACCTTACTGACCAATTACGAGCCTCAGTACACTCCTAACATATAAGAAAAATTCTGCTGACATCGAAACTCTATATATGAAGACCTGGTAAAGTATATATATATTCTAAGTCAGCATCAATAGCCTAGCCGATCTGGCCATTTTCGTCTGCCATAGTGTTCATAAGGATCGGATAATAAACACCTAATTTTATTATGGACCCATTTTACATAGCGTGCTGCCAGGGAAAGAAGCACAGCGTGTGTGAGTGTATTTATTTATGTATATATGGAACCTAGAATATATGAAGCAGCAGCATGACGCTGAGTTCAGAGTATCTCCTATCCGAGCATTTCCGACTCTTGTTATACTTATTTAGAGTAGAATTATTTTATCACTAAATGTGTAATTCATAGCGCGTCCGACCCTATAAAGTATATCAAAAGACGAGTCAAAAGCCTTATTTACGACGGGTATAATTTATAGATATAATAATCGTGTATTTCGAATTAATCTAAATTAATGAATGCTCATATGGTTGCACCAATTAGACACAGTAATTTTTAGATATGTTTCAAAGTAATTGCCTTAATATATATAGTAAGGCGGATGTCCCACGACCTCCAAGTCGCATCTGTGTGGAAGACATGCTCAACCAAGCGTACGTACTTTTAAACAAACATCAATAAATAAATTAACGCAGTGGAACTGACACCAAGTAAGGACATAATTGAGATTGCGATTCAATTCATTAATACAACATATCTTTATACTATTTCGGCAATTAGGGATCGTCACTAACATTTTCATGAAATCAATTTTTAAGGCGAAATTCAAATACCCCTTGATTGTGTCTTCATATAACTTGTCGTAAACATAAGTATAAGTAATAAGTAAAATGTCACATATCTTAGGTTCAAGTTCCTTTTGTTATATAACATGATGAATTCGACACTCGTCGATTTTTCGAATGAATCGAGCAACACCAAAAGCCATTTATCGATCCGTGAATAACTAACATAAATAAATAATTACTATTTTCGTTATTTGTTAATACCACTTGCTTGAAACGAATCTAGACGTTCTGATATTAGCAATCATTTATTTTCCTATACTCTTTTTTCTCGTTCTCTTTCTCTCTCTCTCTCTGTGTCCGTCGCTTTGTTCAAGAATCTCAATTAAGGAGTAAGGCAAGGCAATAAAAATATACAGTTGTTAGACGGCAAAGCAACAACAGCACGCAAGCCCTAGCCTGAACTTTAGACATAAGTAAAGTTCAATGCACTTTACTGCTGGTTGCACATTGGCGGCCGGCTAGGTATAACTATAAAGTCGCGTGACTTCTCGTACCACTAATACTTAAACAAGCCAAGTAAATACATGTGTGATAGATACACGCTAAGTATAAAATCAGCATAACACATGCACTTTTAGCTTTACATACAGGTATATAATAAATAGAAAATTAGCTCTGGTAATGTGGAAGTAGATTGGACAAGGTACTTGCCGGGTAGTTACCCGAGAATTTGTAAGGGTTGCTGCCCATGTCCGTCATTTTGGAGCGTTCGCTTAGTCTAATTAAATTTTCTTTTTGTAGTTAAACTAAGCTCAACTGCACCCAATAATGATCGGTGAAAATTTTATGTAAAACCTTTTGATTTAGATAAGCTCAGAAAATGACATCATACATTTTCGATATTTCTGAAAGGATATTTAATATTTGTCAACCTGAAGCTTACTGTTCTGAAAAATAAATATATCAGGGAGGGGTCGAGTACTAACCGGACGCGACAGATGTACATATGTATGAGTGGGTTGCCAAGGGTGTATACTTTCCTGCTTTGGGTTTCAGCGTAAACAAAAAAATTAGTGGTTGCCAATGTGAAGTGAAAAAAAAATGTCCGTTTGTACATATATACATGTATATACCAAAGTTTAAGACAAAAAACCAAGCGAAAGAACAAGCTTCTTTGTTTAAGTGGAAATATTGTGATCGTAAGACTCGTTTCCAATCTGCACAAAGAATATACGCCCATACATACATTCATGCATATATATTTATCTACATATATGCATGTATATACAAAACAGGCATATATACATATGTATTACACATACAAATATTGCATGCATACATAAATACTTGCATATATTTAAGCCGCTATCGATTAAAATAAGATCGCATTTTACTTAAGAAACACAAATACACATAAATATCCCAATATAGCAATATGAATACATACAAAAATAAATGCATGCACGCAGGCAGTAGGACTTCGCTTAAGGTTCTTGTATGTATGTACATGCATACGCACAATGCACCACTTCAGAAAAATATGGAAAATACTTACTTGCTGTCAGATTTGTTGTCGGCAATTTCAAAGTTGGCGATCATTTTTATTTTTTTTTACTTTGGATCTTGATTTACAAAACGCTCTTTTTTTCTTATAATATTTAATATCGCAAAAACGCAAGAAAGTTGAATTGTATTTTAAAATTTGTTTTTAATTTAACATAAGCAGACCGGGAAAAAATGCATCCGCACAGACCGTTCAATCGAAAAAGAATGAAAGGGAGTAATTTATCGATGTTTTAATTGGTTTACATATCGGAGGGTACATTTATGCATAATCGTGTCCACACTTCAGTGCTCGTCTAGAACTGTTATTCCGCTGTTGAACTCTTCATTACTGTCATCGATATATTTCTGCTACAAAACTGTTAATGTTAATGTAATGTAACATATACTTTATGATATACATAGATACTTTATGTTAATGTAAATATATGTGTACAGTCCTTAAGCTAAAAAATATGTCTGTCTGCCACTGTTAAAGTCTTTGCACACACTCAATTGGATATGTCAAAAAATTATTTTCGATAGCATTCAATCGATCCTTACTGTAAAATGCAAGCATATGTAGCATAAAATAATCATCTCATCTGTAACTTATTCATGCAACGTGGTTGTTTAAGAAAAAAAAAAGATTCTATTTAAGAGAAATATCTATGATTGATAAAGATATCTTGTAAAACCAAAACAGACAGACCATCATAAACTCAGTTAAGTTATCAGCAGAATGAACTACATTACGCTATATCAATTAAAATGAAAAACCTATATTTTCTTGTCATTTTTTCAAAGCGCCTGGCGACCTTTTTTTCCGATTTCATAAACAAGAACATGCAAACAAGTATGCCTCTACTAGAATAGAAATGTATTTGCTATATGTAGGCAAACAAAATACATGAAATGTTAGTTATATTCACAACGCAAACTATTATGTACCATTGCATACACTCTTCAGTATTGTAAGTATTTTGACATGCCAGAAATTTATAATTATTTAACTACGCAACAACAAAATCTGGGATTTATATTTTATTGGAAACCGATCGAATTTTTAAAACATTTCAACCCTTTATGATTGTTGCATTCCTCTTCCTAGTCAACCCAGCGGTTCTTATACGTTTTATGTTCAATCACCTTATTACATTAAAAGCGACGGCTAATCGAGATATTTTACACTAACCTCCATTGGGAAGGCTGTTTTTATCATACTTTTATAACAAGGAAGATTTTCCTGATGGAGAACTTATACTTCTCCGTTCAATCTATCGCCAGAGAGGAATTCCAAATATTAATATTTTTGATGTTGGTCAACTGAACCGTCAATGGAAATTAAATTTTTACTTTATTAAATGAAAGTAGCAATAATAAGGCTTACTTTCTGAAATACAGGTGCATTTATTTTTCATCCTTTCTATATTTAATCAAAAAAACTTTTTTTTGGTGAGTGGTACTCAAAACTACTCTCATCTTTTCAGAGTACACTACGCTACGCTGAAGGAGGCCTCTAAATATACTTTTTGGCGAATTGAAAGTGCTTATTTTAGTTTTTAAGCAATGAATGGGATTTTATTGTCACCAATTAAACGCCTGCGAAAGCTGTTGTGCTTGCGTATATATTCCACTCCAAAGCTGCAATTTTGGGTTTCTAACAGCAGGTCCTCGACGATTTTAAAATTAACTTTTCCACCTGATCAAAGGAAATTGATAATTGATTTCTTTTATATTGATATATTAATAACAACGGCACGGCAAAGATATTATGCCCTTGCAACCATAATGCAACCCAACCTTTCCATAATGCTCATAATGCTTTGACCGTATCTAAGAAGCACGGGAAAAATAGTAAATGCTGAGTATGCTTAAGGTATCTTGAAAAACAAAAAATTTCATGCAAGAACTTAATTTTCGGCCGATCGTTCCTACGGCAGCTATATGATATTTTGAAGTGAAGTTTATAAATGCCGAGTTTCGTCGAAATATCTTGAAAAACAAAAAGTTTTCCAAACGACAACTTAATTTAAACTTTTACATTATTATAGTGGTCGGATGTTGATAGGATTTTGTATATACATATATGAGGAGCATAGTAAAACTAATAAATGTCGAGTTTGGTCAAAAAAAATTAACACATAAGTTTTTCATACAACAACCTACTTTTTGACCGACCGTTCCTATGGAAGCTATATGATATAGTGATCCGATCCAGCCGATTCCCACATATGCAATGCGTGCAACAAAAAGAGGGACTTCTGCAAAATTTCATGGTAGCTTTAAAACAAAATTTCATGATAGCATAGAAACAGACAGACGGACACGGCTATATCGACTCGGCTGCTGATACTAAACAAGAATATATATACTTTATGGAGTTCGAGACAAAATTAATCAATTCGATATTTTTAACAAAAATACTCAAGTTTCACTCTGTCAATCCACTCGTTTAATTCACATTTGTTACCATTGCTAAAAGGAAAGTCCTAGTACTTAGACGGTTACTTATGCCGGCGACTGCACATACGTAAAAGATTTGAAATAATTCTCTTTAGATAAATAATGCTCTATATGGTTGCTAAGATATTATGTGTTAGAATTAAAGTAAAGCTCTAAATTGTGAAATTTGTTCAAGACATCTTGAAACATAATAACATAATTATTCGGGAAACATTTCATTATTGACCAATCATTCATGTTTTAGCAAAATCAAGATAACTTCGTGGACACACTCGTTTGCATAAACTAAGCCATGTATATCACATGTTTTTTATGCAGAATATCGGTTTATTCTTTACATCTTATTTCTCTAGATTATATTGGCAATTTAGGTTCGGTCCCGTAGACAGAGAAGCTCCAGGGTTTCTGTCGGGTTTTGGCTAACCCTAAATAGTTTTGCATGAGAAATCGATTTCAAGCGGCGAGAAATTGTAAAGTATTAGGAATAAAAATGTTGTAAAGTATTAAGTACCAAAATCGATCGACGAATTTATTATGAACGATTTAATTTTTTTCTGGATTTAAATGTTAACGGTTTGGAAAATAAAAAAACAGCTTGATCTTGCATGGTCATGCCACTCGATTTATTAATGTTTGTTTATACTTTACACGGTGTACCAATCACATTTTCATGTGACATTTTTTTCAATTGCATACTTTTGAATTTCTTTTTCATTTGTAGATGGCCTGTCAAACGATGTTAGTTCTTAGTCTTATCGATACTGGACTCATTTTGGCACTGTTAGCATTATTTGTCATTGTTAATTATTTAAATTATTGGGCAACTATCCGCCACCGCCGACCCATTTATCATGCAAAAATACAAAAATGTACAGAGAACTCCTACTCATTTAGACATCTAGCCCTATCTTAACAATTACCGCTATTACTTATATTTTTCCTTGCAATATTTAGTTTTTATTTTGAACTGTAATATTACGATAAGTAAGTCTTATCGATACTCGCTGCATATAGGCACTGTTTGTATTATTAGTCCAAATTCCTAAAAATTTTATTTGTTGGACAATATAAAAGCATTCCGCCATTGGTAATTAATTTATCTCGCAAATTTACATAAAGTTAGTTAGTTAAATTCGATTTATGTGGCTTTTTTTACGGGAACCAAACCAAACAGTTACCCACAGCGCCATCTATTGCATATTTTCATCTTGAGTTTTCATCATCTTAAACAAGAACCATATTTCACACTCAACGAAATTACTACAATCTTCGTTAAAAAAAGCCGGGTTCATGTCTATTCTCTTGATCCGTATATTTTACATATACACCTAATTCTGTTTTTACACGGTAGATTGGTTCCAGAAAATACCGTTTAAAAAAGACATTGATTGCATGCAAAAATAGGTGATTGGTTTCTGATCTCTAAAACCTATTAAAATTAGTAAAAAAAAAAAAGTATTTTTTATGAACAAGAATTTATTAAATCGCATATATAATCTGAATTTACACAAGCATAGTTATTGAAGAAAAAGAAGATATGCACTCTAAGCTTGAAATTAATGTACATTAAATGTATGACAAGTTCAGGAACTAAAAACAATTATGTAAAACAGCTATGTTGTTATCAAAAAGAATAGGTTATTCAATTTTATCTTAATACGTTAAAATTAAATTTAATGTAATGTTGGAAAAACAAATTCGCCTATAAAAAATTTCTTTACCAAACACGTTTCATTTGCTCTAACAAGTAAATTTGCTTGAATGCACAAAAAGCGAATTCACCTAAATTTGTGATAAGAACATATTTCACAAAAATTAAACTTTACAAAAAATATAAGCCCAAAAGATTTAAAATCGTGTTTAATCAAACCATGTAAAAAGAGAATTAGGTGTATGTTATTTTGATCAAGTAGACGACTTGTCTTATTTAGATCGATTGGAAGCTATTAATGAAAACGGCAAAAAGCGCAAGAATTTCTGAAGTTATGTGCCCACATACATTCATTAGTATTATAAATAGGAAATCTAAATATTTGCTTGAGGCAGGAAAAAACTATATCATATAACTGTCACTAAAAATATAGGCCCTTCAGCACCGCGAGACTGCGGGTGGCAACGTACGCGGATGACACCGCCTTCCTGGCTTCTCACGAATCCCTGAAGGGTGCAAAAAGTGCTGTGCAGGAATGGCTGCTGCTGATCGAAACTTGGACAGCTAACTGGAACGTCTCCATAAACTGTGCCAAGTGCGCTTGGGTCACCTTCACATTACGCCCAGACACTTGCCAGGGGCTACGGTTTGATGAAGGGACCATTGAGGACACCAGCTTATTCTGCTACTTGGGCGTCCACTTGGACCGTAGGCTCAAGTGTGGGTCTCTCATCTCAGCAACAAAAGCAAAATGCTTAAGAAGGCTCCAAAGGCTCGACTGGCTCTTTAAGCCGCAAAGCAAGCTGCATATTTCCACGAAAGCGGTGCTTATTAAAACGATGGTAACGCCCATCTGGACGTACGCTATCCAAGTCTGGGGCACGGCATCAGCACACTAGCTGCGTTGCCGGCCTTGGTACGTGACAGATCAGATAAACTTCTTCAGCAGCCGATACGGCGACAAGCTGCTGCAGCATCCGAACGCAGCCGCCAGGGTCCTGGTTGACTCCATGAGAGAGATTCGCCTCCAAAGGCTACACCCCGGTAACCTATCTAGGAATGTAAATCTATAAAATATACAATAAATATATAA